TCATTTATAAGGGTTGTATGGTGTATCATTACATATTTATAGCATTATGGTATTTAGCATATCTAGAAAGTTCCAATTTTTCTTCTATGATAATCAACACTGCTATATACATCCTGAAGTTAAATGTGTACAAACCTCTTTTTCCAATGATTTCATTACCATAAATTCCTACAAATGAAATTGTTAGGTAAAAGGCACAAAAATTTCTAAGGTTTTTGATATGTGTAACCAAATTTCCCTCCCACAGCTTTTTCATATAAGAGATGATTTTACTACTTCCATTACTAGTGACAAATATTTTTTTCACACTACTATTGGCTTTTTTTGTTTTCCTGTGTGGTCAATTGTTTATTTACACCCCTGTCCCTTATCTAGTAGGATGTTTTAAAATAATTTGTAAGAGCTATATATATGTGTGTGTGTGTTCTCTTTTTTCTGTCCTAAATGCAGCATTTTTTTCTCGAGGTTACAATCCCCATTTGTTTTATATATACATGTTTAAAATGTTTTTTTCTTCTATTGTTTCCGCCTTTTACATACTGCTTAAAAACCCTTTGCCCACGATATTATTAAGTACACATTCACCTTTGAGGTCTAGCAGTACCTTTACGGAGTAGAGGACCACTCAGGAATTTGGGAGAATCAGAGGATGCAGGCTGATAGGATGTGTGAAGGGGAAAGAGGGAACAGTCATGTGGGACTGAGTTTTAGGCTTAGTAGACTTCGGTGAGGACGAAACCACTGACTAAAACCAGAAACACAGGAAAAGGAACAAGTCTGTTAGGGTAGATAATGAGTTCAGTTTTACACCCTTTGCATTTGAAATGCCTGCCAGAAAGCCTAGTAGAAATGGCCCAAAGGTGGTTGGAACAAGGGTGTAGAGAGCAGGAGTAAGGCTGGGTTTTAACACAGACATAGAAACAATCCAGCAGACATCTGGTAGTTTCATGTTTTCTTTTCAGTGCACATCCTGGGCCAGACACTGTGCTAATAAGCAATTCACTGCATTGCTTCATTTCGGCTCCCTCAGAACTTTAGGAGGTAGATATTACTGTCCTCATTCTGCACACGAGTAGACAGGCTTACAGAAGTTAAATTACTTTACTAAGTTTTTATAACTGGTGAGTGGTGAAAGTCAAATGTGAAATCAAGTAAGTTGCTTGATTCCTCAGTTTCCTGTCTGGCCCTTTTTGCTCTACAGCCACAGGAGTGGATGACGAGCTCACCAGGGACAGCCAGTCCCCAGGGGGAAAGCTAGCACACTTGAGCAGTGGGCAGAAAAGAAGGGAAGGGGCCAGGGAAGGGACCTCAGAGGAAGGGGGGGGGTCATATGTGTACATGGTGACTGACGCTGTAACCAGAATACAAACATTTTTTTAACCCTCACCTGAGGACATGCTTATTGATTTTATGGAGAGGAGAAGGGAGGGAGAGAAATGTAAATGTGAGAAACATAAATCTATTGCCTCTTGTTCATGTCCCAACCAGTGACCAAACTTGCAGCCTCTGCATGAGCCCTGACAGGGAATGGAACCTATGACCTTTCGGTTTACTGGACAACACTCCAACCTGGAACGTTGAAGCCACATTCAGTCACTACTGGAGCCACACTGACTGGGGCCAGAATACAAACGTGTTGATGGTAGAGGCTTATATCTTATTATATCTTACACATTCTTATACATAAATCTGAGACCCCACTCCTGACCCTGCTCCTGAAAAAAACAATTCTGTCACAGTGCTTTGCACACAAATATTCCTTGATTGGTGTCCCAATGGCCTGTCACTAATTTTCTTGAGTTATATCCCCAGAGCTAGACCTTATCAGTCCCTGTGTCCCCACTTGTTACGGATAGGTTCTTATTCACAGGAGTGACTCAGTATTATTAAGCTGTTGCCTTCTCTGAGAGCAGCAGAGGTAGACTCCTTGGTTTATGCTGTCTTCTCATGGGGTAAGATCACTCCCACTGACGCACTGCGTGCTGCGTTTCCCGTGTTGCCTTTTTGCCTGAGTCGTGGAGTGAGTGTGGAATGTATACTTTTATCTTTGAATCATAGATTTTTCCTTTCCTCTTTTATTGGGTGATTCCCTACACACTTAGGACTTTGTAAAATAGAATTTGAATCACCCTTTTTTTCTTTATGACCTGATATGTAGTCATTCAGCAGAAGTACAACTGGACCTGGATTCTTAACCACATGTAAAGAATCGTAGTATAGTAGGCAAAGCATCCACTTAGAAGTGAGAAGTTAAATTTTTCATTCTGTCCCTTTGGGAAAATCATTTAAATTCTTTGAGTCCCATTTCCTTCTTTATCAAGTGGGGGTACCTACTACCAGGGTGGTCGTGAGGGTTAAATAAAGTAACCAAGATAAAGGATTTGGCCCATGGTAGCCAGCAAATGCAAGGAAGTTGAAACTCTGATTTCATATAGAATCACTTTACTTAAATGTTCTTCTCCATGCTTGCCTGTTGAGTATTCTGTAGCTCATTTATGCTCATCCCTGCTGGGTGGGTTAGGAGACAAACGAGTCCCAACTCAGCCTCAGTGTCTAATGCAAGTCTAATGTGGGCAGCTATGGTGCAAGATGTTAATTGGTAATACATTTGCTGAAAATAGTTTAGGGCAGAATCTAATTTTCTTGGTCCAAACTAACAGTGGTTTCAGAAACTCACCTGCAAATAGTTTCTGATGATAATCAGTAAATATTTTATTATAGTTTTTCTTTCTGAGAAAAAAAGTCCAGCATCAAAATTTTCATGGACTGAAATGGGTTCATTTCAAGCACTTCCCATGCAGAATCCACCTTGGCCTCTCTCCAAATAATCTAAAAATTATTGCACCCTTCCAGACAATTGCTCTGTCCTGAATCAATACTGAATGTAACTCCCATTGCAAGTTAGCACAGGCCTCAGACAAGCCTAGTAGAAAAAGGGGAACTCTTTGTAGACAACAGAAAAATGAGCTGCAGCCTTAACTTGGCAGAACTATTTATTAAAATGGTGATTTAGGAGATTTTTCAAATGCCATTCTTAGTTGTAGATGTCGTTTGAAGACTCTAACCATCTGCCTCAGGAATGAACATGCTTTAGGACAGCTCTGGCTTGTTCCTGTGGTTTGGTGTAATTATTAATAGTGCCCCCTTTCACTCTTCAGAGTCCCTGTTTGTGTGATAAATTCTATGGTCATTCCTTAGAGGCTTTTCTTCAGAGCAAAGCCCGTCTCTTTGAAGATATATTCTTTGCACTAATCTAACAAAAATTACTTTAGTTTCCTACAACAGACTCTGTAGCACCCTATCTTATAGTCATTGAAGTATGTCTTCAGAGCAATAATTAAGAGCCATATAAGCTAATGACTCACTCTTTATGGCTCTCTTACTGGTGAAAGCAAATAAGCTAATGTCATAGGGACTCATCTAACACAGCAGCCCTGGGAAGGAATTATGAGGAGTTCATGTTTATGTTTCAAAGCCGTTTCCAAGCATTTGCAAGCACCAGAAGTTGTACCCACATTAGGCAGCAAGGAGTGAAGACCCAGAAATGTGACCCTGTGCCTTTGGGAATGCCATTCCATGCTTGAAGTCTGAGCACTTTGCGGTCTTACACACCTTTTACAGACTTGAGCCACCTGCATTTCTGTTCTTTAGGTGAGGGTATGTTGTGGGTTAGCCATTCGAGGGCAGTGAGATTGTCCACAGATCATCAGAGATGCTCCAAGAGCGACTGTGGAAACAGCGGTGCGGCTGCTGGGAGGAGGAGACACATGGCAAAACCCCAGCCATTTTTCCTGCAAGGAGGGAGAGCCTGCTTGGCAGGATGGAGCCAGGCATCCTCCTGCATAGTCCCCAAGAGTCTGAAGCAGATGGATCCACAGGTTGGGACAGATGAATTCTTATAAAGCCTCAGCATGTGTGGGTAAAGAGAGAAAGGAGGAAGGGTGGTCTACCTATCCAAGTGCCCTTTCATCTAATCTGCTCTAGCCTGCATCTAGTTTACATTTCTGTCCCCAGCCGCCTGGCTTCTTATTTGTAGTCTAATTCTGAGAGAAGGAAAGAGGTTCAAAGCAAGGCAAGGGAGCACAGAAAGGTTTGCTCTCTGGAAAAAAAGAATGTGCTTGCAGAGCCCTTCTTTGGGGGGGGGGATTGGTGAGTTGGGGGTGAGGGAGTGGGAAGGTACGACAGCTGAGGAGAGAATAGAGCCATGTAACCAGATGAGAACCATGGCATAATGTTGGCTTCGGAATGGCCTTTTCCTAGCCTTTCTCCCAAACCTCCTCAAGGAGGGGCAGGTGGAGTTCGGGGTAGAAAACTTCACCTCTTGGGTAATGGGGCTATGGTGGGGGTGATTAGAACCAGTGGGGGTGTCACTCCTTCCAGGGAATGTCTAGAAGAGCTAGAATTCTGATATCTTAGTCAAAAGTACTCCCCAGAGATCTTGTAGCCCCGCTCCCTCATTTTACCCAGAGGACCCAGAGGTTCAGAGACCTTGAGTGACCTTCAAAAACATATCACTGAACAGCTAACTTGGGGTGCTCACCCAGCCATGAAAGTCTAAAAGATTTTAAAAATACAAACCAAGCCCTGGCTGGTGTGGCTCAGTGAATTGAGTGCCGGCCTGTGAAACAAGGGGTCGCTGGTTTGATTCCCAGTCAGGGCACATGCCCGGGTTGCGGGCCAGGTTCCCAGTTGAGGGTGTGTGAGAGGCAACCACACCTTGATGTTTCTCTCCCTCTCTTTCTACCTCCCTTTTCCTTTCTCAAAAAATAAATCTTAAAAAAAATAAAACTATAAACTTCCCACTGTGAAGAATTGTCATGAGACTTAAATGAGTGGCTCTGGAAACAAATTGCACATATTTCCTGCTTAGCCAAGGAGCTTGCTCACCATGGTCACCCCTGCTGTCCTTGATGGGGATTTCCTGTCTCCAGAGAAACAGTGAGCTTAAACTTCAGGATCCGTTTCTTTTGCTTAAAGAGTCCTCTTCCACCTAATTTTAGGAACTTCCAGTCCCAGAAAACCTGAATCATGGCCGGCCTCACTCAATGAATCTGAACACCTGATGCTCCAGCACTCTCCTGATCGGAGGAGGAGGTCAGGTGAGGCTGATGATGACTCAAGTCTGGGCCCGCTGGGGAAACAGGCTGGGGCCTGTGGAAGAGTTGTGTCGGCGTAGCACTGAGGGCTGGCTCACGTTATGTCTCAAACTTTCACCCCCATCCTTGTTTCTATCACCATTAGCTCCTTGCCCAGACCAGACTTGTCTTTCAGGTCTATAGAACCAGGGTTTTTGGTGTGATGAGAATCTTATTTTGCCATCAACCCTAATTTTATAGACTCTGAGAGTGGCTTAAGCACTTCAGGACTGCGAATGCCTCTCCCTACAAAGCAGAGCCATGCGTGTTGACCAATACATTGAGCAGGTAGAGAGAATACTTGGCTCCCTTAGATATAATCTGCCTGGTGTGTCCCTGCGTGGGTGGAAACCAAGCAGTGACGGCTACCTATCTCTGTACTCAATAAACATGTACCAGTGCAACTCTGTACACCCTCACTTAGTGCTCCTTATGAGCAAGGCTCCTGAGTTACCCTGTGAGAGGGCAGAAAGCTGATAATGTATAGTGCCTGTCCTCTGTGTTTTTTTCAGAGAATGTGGTATAAAAAACTTGTTCCTCATTGGATATTAATAACTACCATTTATTCAGCACCTACTATAGGTTCTGCATTTTATTATATCTTCTCTAGTCTTCTCAACAACTCTATAAGGCAGATATTACCCCCATGTTGTTGACGTGGAAACTGAGGCTCAGAAAGGTTATGTGATTTGCCCAGGCAGGCCTCTAGGGCAACCCCCTGCTTGTGGAGGCTGAATGTCAGAGGAAGACAGAAAGCAAGGGTGTGCCAAACCTTCCATTCTCAGTCTGACACCGGCCTGGATTTAAATTCCCGTGCTAACACTTGTGTGGCCTCAGGAAAGCTGCTCTCTGTCTTGGCTTCCTCATCCATAGACTGAACAAAATCCTCCACTTCATAAGGCAATTGGAAAGATGAAATGAGATCATTGTGGGCACCGCTCATTTCCCCAGCACATTCAGGTACAAAATGACTCATTGGGCACAGAATGTTCATCTCCTAGACTGAGGGCTGGTTCACGGTATGTCTCAAACTTTCACCCCCATCCTTGTTTCTATCGCCATTAGCTCCTTGCCCAGACCAGACTTTCCGATCTACAGAACCAGCAGTTTTGGTCTGACAAGAAGCTTTTGCTGTCATCAACCCTAATTCTGCCACTTCCTCACCAACTCCGGGTTTGTACTGAATTATCACAAACCAAGGAGACCAGGTTTGTGGTCTCCTTGTCAGTGAGACCTTCCCTGGCCACCGTATCTAAAAGATCAACCCCATTCCAATACTTATCCCTTTCCCTACTTTGAACTAACTAATATATTAAAAACTGTGTTCATTTATTTGTGTTTATCTTGTCTGTCTTCACCCACAAGAAGGAAAATTTTCTGAGATACAGAAATGTTTGTGTTATTTCTGTATCATCCCAAGCACAAATATTTATTGGTTAAAAGAATGAATCATTTCAAAACAAAACAAAACAAAAACCCCAAAACGTTTTGGTACCAAAAGACTTAGGTTTGAATTTGACTTTTCCCTCACTACCTGTATGACCCTGGGTACATTACTTAAAATGTCTAGGTCTTGGTTTCCTCATCTGTATAATATGAAGAATAATGCTTTTTCATTGTTTGGACTGTTGAGATGATTAAGTGACATGCCTGAAAACTGGCATGCAGCAACAGCTGGATGAATGCTTGCTATCATCACTGAAAATAATCTGACCAGTTATTCAACTTGTTTCAGTAAAACTCATATCTTGTTAGGCTAAGAGAGGAGGAGGCTAAAAACTGTATGCCCTCAGTATTTCGGCCCATTTGTCCTCCTCGTTGGTCTATAAATAGTTGAATACGTGTGAAATCACTCCCTGTTCACAATCCAAGGCTGCTGAGGGTCTGGATTACCATTACCAGGTCACTGCACAGGGAGGCTGGGGCAGCTCAGACGACTTGCCCAAGGTCACTGCCTCAAAATCCAGGGCATGCAGGGCCTACACACAGGTACTGTCTCTTGAAATTACATCACACGCCGCCTCTCCTCCCAGGTCCTCTCTGCAGTGTGCGATGGTTACAGGGTCCCTGCCCTCAGGAGCCCAGTCTTCAGCCAGGATAGGCACTGACCATCATCTCCTGCAAGTCACATTTTTAACACTCAGTTTTGTGGTGCAACCCACCCCTCACAACTTTAGGGACAGGATCACAGGCGGGAAAAACTCTGGAAACTGTGAAGCGCTGTATGCAAGAGGTATCTGCAACAGGTATTAACACGTGAACCCCCACTTTCCAATCCCAGGAGTCCCTCCTGTTTGCACTGCTCTCCAAAGCCACACAGCGCTGGGTGGAATGGCATATTAACCCCCAAGCTCCCGTCAGGGCGTTTCTCCAGCTGGCGGGGGAGGAGTTTCGCCCCTCGCCCACGCCCAGCGCCTTCTCTGCGGTGCGCTTGCACTATCGCTGCTTTCCCGGTGTCTCTCTCCCGCCCAGGCCCCGGCTGCGCTTCCCGGCCCGGCAGGCTCAGCACGGCACGGCGGGCGGGCAGCCAGGATGCAGGCGGCGAACAAGGAACACCTGTATAAACTGCTGGTAATCGGGGACCTGGGCGTGGGTAAGACCAGCATCATTAAGCGCTACGTGCACCAGAACTTCTCCTCGCACTACCGGGCCACCATTGGTGTGGACTTCGCGCTCAAGGTGCTTCACTGGGACCCGGAGACAGTGGTGCGCCTTCAGCTCTGGGACATTGCAGGTGAGGGCTGGGAAAGGAGGTCCGGGGGCGGGAGCGCCTCGCCGTCTGTCTGCAAGCAGTACCGAGGCAGAAGGGTTGCAGCCAAGCGAGGGAAGCAGGTCTCTCATACCTGCGCCAAAAGAGAAGACTTGTCCTGGTGGGTTGGAAACTTGGCTTCAAAGAAAACAAAAAAGTTTCTTGCTCTCGCTGAAACTCGCAGCGCACTTTTTGGCGCGTGAAACTGTTGCTTTAACTACCTCTCGCACTTCCTCCTGGGATCTTTCTGTCCTGCGCCGGTCTCTCCAGGGTAGCAAAAGGAAACCTATTTAGACTTGCATTCGGTTCTTGGCCTCCAGCTCATTTTCCGGGCTGGTGACGCGACCCTGACTGTCACGCCTGGCCTTCCGTGCCCAGTCCAACGCAGGGGAAGCCCCTAAATCGGTTCACAACAGAAACCAAGAAAGTTCCAGGCTAGAGGAATTAGTTCCTGTCTTCGATCGCTCATTTTATTCCAACTCTCTTCCTCCCCTTCTCTACTATCAGTGAAGCAAGTTGGAGGTAGTTTGCATTGAGGAAGCCACAGAGCTTCCTATGTACATATGGGGGCAAAATATTATTTCTCTCCCCTGTGCCCGCACTGTGTCTCTTTCTCTCTGCTCTCTGTGGTCTCTCAAAAAAAGCTGGTGTATATATTTTAGGGACACTATTGTGTAAGGGCTTATGACATTAACCATAAGATTTCTTGATTTGGTCCTAAAGTTTTCATTGAGAAACCTGGAAAACGGGAAGCGTCTTGACACTGTTTGACATCAGAATTTGATTCTGAGAGTTTGTACCAGGAAGTAGGCACAGTGGAATTGTGAGGATGCAGTGCCTGCTCCAAAAGCGAGTCCCTGGACTGAGGCTGCTTGAAACCTGGTCGTGTACAAGTCCTCCTTACAGATCCTGGCTCTGCCACTCACTAGCATGCTCAGTGGCTTCAGACAAGTGCCTTCAGCTCAGCTCAGTGCATCCCTGTGAAATGCAGAAGGGTTGGGAATAACCGCTCAGGAATCTTTCTGTTCACTGCTCAGAAGCTTTAAGGTCCTCTGGGATTCTGGGCCAAATCACTTGAAACAATCCCACTTCGCCTCTGACCGTTTCATGGTCTGTGGCACCAAGAACTTTTTGAAGGTCTGGGCCCAAAGTAGCTGCTTCCCTTTCAGAAAATAGGTTCATTTTAGCTGGTGCATTTGACTGGAAACATTTTATCATGGCTTGAAGCGAGAACAAATGTGGAAAATGTTTGAAAGGGCATTTCTGATTCTGGAGACTCCACTGCCTCTTTAATCATCAGCTGCCAGGTCTCATGATAAAGCTCTTGGCATGCGGACAGATTCATGAATTAAGAGTCATCTTCTGCAGCTTTGGTAGCACAGGGGTTATCAGAGACCGGAAGATGTCACCAGCTACTATCTGATTGGACTTTTCATCTAGAAAATCCACTATGAGTCTGTATACCTTGTTGTTCTAACTCTTTTAATGAGTTAGAAGTCTCCAGGACTCGTGTTTAGAATTATTTTGTGGTTTGAAGGGGTAGCTGTGATTTAGACTTACGTGTCAAATGTAACGAAGGAGGTGTCTTCCAGCATTTTACATAGTGTCCATGGGTCTCAGTGTCCTCACCTAACAGGGAAAAAAGGTCACAGTGATTGAGAACCTAAATTCCAGAGTTAAGCTGCCTCTATCTGAATCCCTGTTTTAAACCACACATCCTAGGCAATTTTAGGCAAGTTCCCTAACCTCCTGGTCTCATTTCCTTATCAGTAAAGAGGCGAAATGCTTTCTCCCAACAAATGAGAGATAAGCAAATAACAAATACTAGCTAAAGCTGACAGTACTTCTATCTAGGAGAGCTGCAAGGGTTCCTGTTACAGTAGCTCCCATTTTTTTGAGCATGTATAAACTCTAGGTAAGAAGGACACGATATAAATGTGCCGATTAAATTCAAATAAATAATGATTCCTATATAATATTCCAACTATGTTATTTATAAGTTCCAAAATACCCAGCATCATTTTTCAGTTTTACCCATATTTCAACATACTGTCATGAGCAGTGTAACCTCAAAGTTTCAAAATGCCTCCTTGAGCTATGATTCTGCACTAAGATTGCCACAGATACTATAGTCACAGAAGCTCGGGGAGATGAGAAATCTGAGCTCTACAGATAAGGTGTGCAATATCTCAGTAAGGGAGCTTCTTTGTCCCAGTGCTCTGATGCTCTATGGTAACCTGCCTTTGGCAGCCTCCAGCCCCAAGGCTGTGTAGGCCGAGTTAGAAGTTGGGCAGCAGGCAAAGCCGGTTGGGGGAAGTTGGGCCAATGTGGGAAAGGATATCTGGAGCACAGTACTAACATGTTTCGGGCTGCATAGGTAGCCCTGCAAGGAGTGAAGTTATGAAATCCAGCATCAATTGCCCATCTAGACTCCAGTTAGCTAAGTGACCTTTACAGAACCTTCAAATCACAGCCTGACTACTCAAACATAGAAGTGCTTCTCTCTGTCATTTGTGCTCCACTCTCCTGTGTATCGGGGAAGAGCAGGTAGTAGAGGCTGGCAGGCCTCTCTCTGAGAGGGCTGGGGGTGTGGTTGGGATGGAGACCTGCTCTACCGTGGTGGGATATCAGATTAACCTGCTGTAGAGGGAAACTTTGCTCAGTTAGACTCCTGATATTCTTCTGGTTCATTGCCAAGTGGGGCTCTGTTGGTCCAACAAATTCCCATGATCTCTTGTAGCCACTTAGACTGGGCAGTCTGATCTTGAAAGACTCCACAAAGTACCTTTCAGGGCTTGTGAACTTAGCCTTGAAACCAACATGACAAGTTTCATAAACACCATAGGAAACAGCCATCACCCTAGTCCCAGTGATTCCACTTAGGAAGAGCTGGACCAGCTGTGGTTTCAGAAGTTCTTGATAGAGTGAGAAAAATTGAGTCCGTTTTCCCAAAGCCACCGAGGTGACAAGTGGAAGAGCTGGAGCTGGTCTAGTTCTGTCTGGCTCCAGCCACACTGTATGGCCATAAGCCTGCGAGAGCTCGGTGCACCGGTGGCCCACAGGGTCTGTGCCCTCTTCCCCTCTAGAGGCCTTGCTTCTTCAGTAGATGGGTTAGCTTTGCCTTTTCCTTCCTATTTCTAATGGGCTTTTGGATATTATACAGTACCCCTGAGCAGACACTGGAAGGAAGTGGAATGAAAATATATTTGTGGAGATTTGATTCTTGGTTATAGGTTTCATTCTTTTTATAAATTTATCAGAAAGAGTTAAAAAAAGTGGTCCCACTTGAGACTTTTTTTTTTCCTTTTGATGTGCTTTGGGACCTAACTGCAGGAATTGGGACAGAGTAATGGTAACTAACATTTCTTAAGCACTTATACTCACAGTTGTCCACGCAGGTTTAATTTCCTAGTAAAATAGCTGTTTAAGTGGTAGTGCTGGAATTTAAATCTCGGCCCTTGCATTTAGCACCCCGGTCCCTAACAGTTTCCTCTACTTCCCGTAACTTAAAAATGGAATACTTTAGACATACCCTAAATATATTCTAAATTACAGATTTGATTTTCCTGGGATATCATATTTTTACTACACTATCTCTTGTCTGTGTCAGTTTTAATATATTCTACTGTGTTCAGGTAGTATGTGGTTGCTTATTCCAGCTTCTTATTCCAAGTATCTTGTGCAAGTTATTTAGCTTCTACGTCTTGGTTTCCTGTCTATAAAGTGGAAGCAATAGCAAAATCTGCATCTTAGAGATATTAAAAGAATGAAATGAATTAACTCATGGAAAGCCGAGCCTGACACATAATAAAGGCTGAATAAATGTTAGTTATTATGCTGGTTGTTTTAACTGTTATCACCAACTACTTTTGCATACAATTTCTAGCCTGGTCTTTCCAGCATCGCTGAGGGTATAGACAGAGCAGGTTGTCTTAAATCTACTTTATATTAGAGAAGATTAAAAGTCAGAAAGGTAAAGGACTTGCTCCATGACACAAGAGCTAGCAAGTGGCCAAGGAGAACAAGAACAGCAGAAACCCAGTGCTAGATTGAACCCAGAGAGTGGAATATAAATTAAGTTGACAGATAATTTAGAGAGTGCTTCTTCAGTATGTGAAAGTTTCACTGCAAGGCTGTACTAAATAATCAATGCCTCTAAATATTTAAAACAAGATCCAACTTACAAGAAAAATATTTTCCTGCAGGGCACATCTGTCCTAACTTTCCCAGCCTAAGCCTTGTGACAAAGAAGCATTGGAGGACATTAACTATCCCACAGGCAGAGTGAAAGAGGGAGGCAGCCTGGAGCAAGGGTCAGCAGCCCTGGGACACTGACTCTGCACGCCAGTGGCTATGAGATTCATCCGGTCAGGCTGCTGTGTTATTTTAGACATTTCGAAGTGCTTCCTCCACATGGGTTTGTACTTGAATGTATCATCAGTATCTATTTCCAAATACTGCAATTCTCCAAGAAGTTTTAGAAGAAGGATCCTAAATATCAGCATGATAGATCTAGAAATGTAGAAAGAGCTAAATTTGACAACCACCATGTCAAGCAAAAACAAAAAAGCATATCTAATTGGGAGTGTTCTCTGCTGAGCAATTTACTGCCTGGGTGATTGTAGATTTTCTAAATATCATGTGGACTAAAATGCTATGTGCTTACAGGTAAGTAATACATGCACCGAGCAAAAGGGTGAGCTTTCAAAGTAGGGTGAGGGATTTGTGTGGAAAGCATTACAGGGCTTCGTGCAGAAAATCATTAAAACCCCCATCTGGCACAGGTGTGTGAACAGAAGGCTGTGGGACATGTCCCCTCATCTAGATTTTAGAGGACCAGTTCAGACAGAGGAGCACACAGCAGACTGACCAAAGAAAGCTAAGTCATTTGAGGGAAGAAGGGGGGATGGGGAGGAGTGGCTCCTACGGGTGTGCTTGGTTTCTGCAGCAGATATGTCTATTAAAAGCCTGGTGTGGGTTAAGTG